ATGTTTGTATATTGATACTTCTTTCCTGATTATGTTTTCTAGTGATTTAGCTATCTTATTGTTTCAAAGAACTAGACTTGGGGATGTCCCTGGTGGTTCAGTGATTAAGAATCCACCTGTCAATGCAGGGGACACAGGTTTGATTCCTGGTCTGGGTAGATTCCACATGCCATGGGGCAACTAAGCCCGTGCACCACAACTACTGAAGCCTGTGTACCTAGAACCCATGCTCCACAATAAGAGAAGCCATTTCAATGAGAAGCCTGCACATAGCCAACTAGAGAGAAGCCCCTGCTAGCCACTAGAGAAAGCCCACGCAAAGACCCAGAGCAGTCAAAAATAAATAAATAAATAAAATTTTAAAAAAGAACAAGATTTGGGATTAATTTATTAGTATTGTTTATCTCTTTTTTAATTTATTAATTTCTATTTTTATCATTAGCACTATTTCTGATAGCTTTCCATTTATTTTTGTATACTTTTTATAACTTTTTGAGCACAGCGCTTAACTCATTTGTTTTTTATTCTCTCTTTTGTTTTTCGACTATGATTTTCCTGTCTACATTGATTTAGCTGTGTATTCATTTCCTAGGGCTGCTGTTAAAAAATACTGTATACTGGGTGGCTTAGACAATAGAAATACATTGCCTCACAGTTCTGCAGGCAAGATGTCAAAGATCAAGTTATTGGTAGGGTTAGTTTCCTCTAAAGCTATAAAACAGAGAAGTTCTATGCCTCTCCCCTGGCTTCTGGTGGTTTGTTGGCAATCTTTGGTGTTCCTTGGCTTGTAGAAGCATCACCCCAATCTCTGGTTTTATCTTCACATAGTGCTCTCCCTGTGTGTGTCTTTGTGAACAAGTTCCCCTTTTCATAAGGACACTAGTCATATTGATTTAGGGCCCACCCTAATGACCTCATTTAAACTTGATTACCTCTGTAAAGACCCCAGTTCCCTAAAAGGTGACATTCTTAGGTACTGGGAGTTAGAACTTCTACATAAGATTAGAGGGTGGGACACCATTTAACCCATAACAGACTATGTCCACAAATCTGCATAAAGAGTACTTTCATTATTGTTGTTGCCTAAAACAGTCTTCCATTTCTGTTTTTATTTCCTCTTTGAGAGTTTAAGAGAGCTTTTAAAAAATTTCCACATGGAAGGAACTTTCTCCCTTTCTATTTTATCATCAGTGTTTAGTGAATTATATAATTTAATAGTTACAAAATGTTATCCAAACTGCATCTAACTTTGAGAATTTATTGAAGATTTATTTATGGGTCAATATACAATTGGTTTCTATGAAAATTCTCACAGCTTTTGGGGAAAACAAAATGTTTATTCTTTGGTTACATGGTTTAATTAGTTCTATCTCATTAGTTACTTAAATATTCTTATCTTTATTTATTTTTGTCTTCTTGATCTATTCTTACAGAGTGAATTATATTCCTCTTCTACTTATATATGTCTACCTATTTCTTTCATCTCTTGTAACTTCCACTTTATAAATGTGGAAACTATATTATTAATGTTGTCTTAGTCACACTCTTAAAATCAGAGTAGACTGGTTGTTACCAGGCCTTGGGGGAGGGGGAGTGGGGAAAATAGAAAGATCAAAGGTAGAAATTTTTTTGCTGTAAAATGAGTAAGTTCTGGAGTTCTCAGATACAGTATGGTGACTATAGTTAAAATATTATATTGCATACTTGAAATTTGCTAAGGCAGTAAATATTAAAAGTTCTCAGCACAAAAAAGTAACTATGTGAGGTGACATGTGTTAAGCAACATTATTGCAATAATCATTTCACATTTTATATATATATATATATATATCATCATGCTGTATACCTTAAAATTATACAACGTCATTTGTCAACTTTATTTCAGTAAAGTTGGAAGAAAATATTGTCTTTATTGAATTATACTCCTTAGATTACAATATATCTTTCTTTTTCATTTAATGATCTTTGTACCAAATGTCACCTTATCTGTCCTGTTGTTGTTCAGTCACTAAGCTGTGTCCAACTCTTTGCAGCCCAATGGACTGCAGCACACAGGCTTCCCTGTCCTTCACCATCTCCAGATATTTGCTCAGATTCATGTCCTTTGAGTCAGTGATGTTATCTAACCATCTCATCCTCTGCTGCCCTTTTCTCCTTTTGCCTTTAATCTTTCCAGCATCAGGATCTTTTCCAAAGAGTTGGACCTTCACATCAAATGGCCAAACTATTGGAGCTTCAGCTTCAGCATCAGTCCTTCCAATGAATATTCATTGGAGTTGATCTCCTTTAGAATTGACTGGTTTGATCTCCTTGCTGTCCAAGGGATTCTCAAGCATCTTCTCCAGCACCACAATTCAAAAGAATCAATTCTTCAGCACTCAGTCTTCTTTATGGTCCAACTCTCACATCTGTATATGACTACTGAAAAAACCATAGCTTTGATTAGAC